CATCTCCTATATGATAAGGGGAGGGAAGGAAAACCCTCTGGCTGGGCTTCCTCTGTTTTTAAATCTTATCCCACTTGCCAGGCACAGTGGCTCATGTCTGTAATCCCACTACTTTGGGAGGCTGAGGCAGGTAGATCACTTGAGGCCAGGAGTTCAAGACTAGCCTGGGGAACAGAATGAGATCCCCCGCACCATCTCTACAAAAACTAAATAAATCAGCCAGGCATGGTCGTGTGCACCTGTAGTCCCAGCTACTTGGGAGGCTGAGGCAGGAGGATCACTTGAGCCCAAGAGCTGTAGGCTGCAATAAACCATGATTGCACCACTGAACTCCAGCCTGGGTGACGAAGCGAGGCCCTGTCTCAAAAATCATCCCTCTCTACCCAAGACAGTTATCAAGAACTGGGGAATCAATCACATCCAGCTGCTAGGTTCAGACTGTTCTTACTAGGAGATCTGGGGGAAGCCCTGTACACAGCCTACGTTAACGGTTTCAGAGGAGAAGGAGATGGTGAACAAGGAGTGGCACAGCATTCTAAAATTCTAGATATTCTTTCCTATCAAAGGGAAAAATCTCTGCTGAATCAATGGAGAGGAAAGACAAGCAAAATCAAACAGCGGCTAGCTAATAAGCAAACTGACAGGAAGCATAACATAGAAAGAACCCTCTACCACTTGCCAGCCTTAGGCTAATCTTGGGTAATTTAGCCACTCAAAACCCCTCAAAACAGAGATAATGCCTCTATCACAAGGTTGCTGTAAGGGTTAAACAAAATGACATGTGAAAACACCTAGCATACAGCATCAGTTAAATTAGAATCTATTCAATCTGCAGCCAGGCATGGTGGCTCATGCCTGTAATCTCAGCGCTTTGGGAGGCCAAGGTGGGGAGGAATCACTTGAAGACAGGATTTCAAAACCAGCCTGTGCAACATAGTGAAGATGCTGTCTCTACAATAAAAATGTTTAACAATTAGCTGGGTGTGGTGGCGTACCTCTAGTCCAAGCTACTTGGGAGGCTGAAGTGGGTGGATCATTTGAGCCCAGGAGGTTGCAGATGCAGTGAGCCATGATCACGCCACTGCACTCCGCCTGAATGACAGAGCAAGACCCTGTCTCAAACAGAACAAAAACTATTCAATTTGCGGGAAATTCAGCAATTGCAAAACTAAATTTAGAGGACTAAAATCTCTCCACTCCCAGCCACTACTTCTATTCTAATGGGATGGCCTTAAAGGTTCCTGAAAACTCCTACCACAGGACATGAATGCTTGACCAGGCTAAAAAGCTTTCTCTCCTATCTACTCTCTGTAAACTTTTGTCTTCTAGGAGACAAGATGAAAAGGTAGGAGAGAGGGAGGGGCCTGAATGATGTATCCTGTAGCAGATCTTGCAAAGATGGCTACACAGACCTAAGGGCTAGCTGAGTCTCAGGCAATGATCTATGGCTGAGAGACCTTGGGTTGAACAGTTTCTCTAGGCCCCTTCCCTAGCTCCCGCGAGTTCTGCTCAGAGGCCTGAGTCAATTCTATGGGTCA